TTCACACTCCATCCCCCACCCCTTCACACTCCATCTCCCACTCATTCACACTCCCATTCTTGATTCCCCTCCCACCCCCACCATTTCCTTCCAGAAGCCTCCACTCACTTTCTAATATGGTATGTGCATGCTGCTACCTTTTCTCTGATTCTAACCAAGTAAGAGCTGCCTCCTCCAGGAATCCCCCTGGCACTCACTGAATGGGGTCCCATGTTCCCCACCAAAGTGTTTGTCCCCAAGGACAGATGCCTCAGCTGTTGGAGGGGACAGAACTTTCCACTCCCAGAGTGACCTGTTGGGGGGTGGTCTCACAGAGCTGGGGTGAGAGCCAGGCTTCCTGACTCTAGCAGGTAGTCGCCTCCCTCCCCCCCAACCCCCTGGCACTGTGAGCCGGGTCCTCAGCCCAGGGTCCCCAGCTGATGGGTGTTTCCATGGGAGAGGCCAGAGTGAACAGGGCCCTCCTTGGAGGCTGAGCCAAGCGGGCAGCTCTGACTTCCTGGCCTCAGTCTGTAGAATGGGATGCAGCATTCTTTGTGGGTGCTGTGGCAGTCAGTATGATAGGTGTGTAACCCCCCCCCCCACAGCCAAGTGGGGTCCCAGAGCCATTCCCCCTCTACATTCAGCTGGGTGTCCAGGGTCCACAGAGGACTACAGAGGGGCCTGGCCATTCACTCATCGGATGCAGGCGGATGCCCTTGCCCTTCCTCTGTGGATTGCAGGACTGGCCACTCCCCTCCGTCAGCCCAGGAACTTTGCTTTCTCTGTGCGGCAGCCCTGCCAGGAAAGTTCTGGAGAGGGGCCCCTGAGGAGGACGAGAGCTGAGGGTGACCAGCGTTCCTGAGCTGGCACACGCAGCCCTGGACACCCTCCTGGTGGCTGGAGCCAAGTCCCTTGGCAGAGTTCCTTTACAAATACGCTGGCCGCTCTCCCTTTGTTCCCTAAGTTGGGGGAGGGGGGCTCCACCGCCCTTTGTCCAGGCTGGCCTGGCAGGCCCCCGGCGGAAGTAAGCCGGAATGGCTGCCACCTCTGGCCTGGTCGAGACAGGATTGTCCAGGGCTGGAGCACGCTGGGCAGAACGGACTCCCCAGGGTTCAACCAGGTTCCCCAGGCTTGCTGGCCTACCTGTGTCCTGATGGTGGCTGGCAGACTCGGCCCCCCAACTCGCTCTGGTAGAAGTAGGTGGCCAGGGGTCTTTGGGGAGCTGGTGTGGACGTGGGGGGGCTTGGTCTTTGCTGTGGACAAACAGTGATGCCTGGGTCCCACTGTGGCCCAGTGGGGACAGGGACACTGAGCTGTGTGAATGTCCCAGCCACAGGGCACCTGTATATTGCGCCTAGGCTGTGACCCTCGCTGGGGCAGACCCACCCCAACCTGCTCCTGTGGGTGAATTCCCTGCTGGCGCCCGAGAGCACCCAACAGGCCGTCCATGCTGTAGCACCGTGCCTGGCCTGGGAGAGGCACCCCCTCGTGAATACTGACTGAATGGACAAGTGCGTGAATGAGGGTGCCCGTGCTAAATATATAACATTTGGCCCACAAAGGCCGCCCAAACCACACATGCCTCATGGGGTACACGGTGAGATTCGAGCAGGCGTGGGCTCGTGCTCTGTGTGATACACGTGGGGCTTGGAGGAGGGTGTCTGCGTTGCTTCTCTTGTCACATGTCTACGCAGGCAGGGCGGGCCTGGGGAGGGTGGGCGTGTCCTGTGCGCACGGCTCTCTGGGAGCCTGAGGCCATCCCAGGATTAGGAGGGCCTGGGGCCCCCCAACAGTTTACTCCAAGCGTGCAGAGGGTCACTTCTCTGTATCGAAGCTCGGTTCCTGCTGGCTTTAGTTTCTCTGTTTTCACAGCCCTCTGGTGCTGAGAACGAAGAAACACTCCCTGCTCCCCTGAGACCGGCAGGGCCCCCCTTCTGCCGCAGGCAGGTTGTGGAAGGGAGTGTGGGGGCATGAAGGTGGCACCTGCTGAGCTTGGGAAAAGCAGGCCTCCCCACCATCCCCTATACGAGGGGCTTACCTGGGCGGCTCTGCCTGATCCTGCTATTGTGTCCCAAGTGCCTCCAGGGATGCCTGTGCCCGCCATGGGTGTGGGGGGAGACAGGCTGGGGGTGGATGGAAGCCTGGGCCTGGTTAGGGAGCTGGTGGTCAGGCCGAGTGCTCCCCTGCCATGGTCTGCGCTGGGTGGTGGGCCAGAGCCTCCATGGGGGCACTATGTAGGGGCTTGGGGCTGTGTGATTTCACCCACCAGGGCACCCTGCTCACTCTAGGGGACCCTGGGATGGCAGGACAGACTTGGGGGCTCTGGAGAGGACCCCCGTGGAGAAGCCCCCATGGAAGAAGAGGTCTCCCTCCCCAGAGAGCACTTCTACTGGAGAGGCTGGCCCCTTCCCATCCCTGTCCCTCCCAACAGTCCATTCTTGACTTTGGTCTCTTGGAGGCCATGGTCCCAGGAGATGGAGTGACCAAGGAGAGTCGCTAAGGGGAGTACAGAGGGGAGACAGTGCCGCCCCCCAGGACTGGAGGGGCCCAACTGAGCACCTGCGGCCACCCCTCTCTGCCGTGTGCCAGGCCTTCCTCGCTGCATTCCTGTACGTGAGCATGCGACAGCCGGGCTGAGGAAGCAAAACCAGGCTGTTCCGTGTGTCATGACGTGAGGACGGCCTGGCCATACTGTGGCCCGGCCCCGGTGCCTCCTGCATGTTTCAGCTGCCACTCCCAGTGGGCTCCTCTCCCACCCAGGAACAGCCTGGCTCCGTGCTGTCCCCTGTGCACGGCTGTGCTCACGCCACAGCCACGCTACAGGTTGGCGCTCACAGACCTTGTGCCCCCTCCTCACAGCGAGCTGTGCATCCGTGCTGTGACTCAGTGTCCACGCACATACACACACTTGCACACACTCACATACACCTATACGTGAGCACCCCCCACACGTATATACACCTATACATGTGCTCACATGTACACACTACTTGCATATACATCTATACATGTGTTTACACACATGTATACACACTCACATGTATATGTCTGTACACATGTTCACATGTACACACACATGCATACCCCTACGCACAGACACATACACACAGATGCGAACACTCACACTCACACACACGCAAGTCCGTATACACGTGCACACTAATGCGTACAGATACGTGTACACACATTCACACACACACATACGCATAGATACCCCATGTACATAGATGCACACTCGCACACTCAAACATTCATACACACGCACACCTGTAGCCCCAGAATCAGGAACTTCCTTGCCCTCACTGGGGTTGTCCCACTTCCGCTATGATTCATTCGAACAATGCAAACCCCTTGGGTGTCTCTTGACCACCTCGGGATGGTCCACGGGTCTGGAAGGGCGTCTGGGCGACACTGCCGTGAGCTCCTCCAGTTTGAGGGTGCTCCCAGACATGCATCTCCAGCTCCTAGTCGCCCTTCCCCCACACCTACGTGACACCTCTATCCTGACCCTAAGGCACCCTGAAACGCCACACGTGCTGAGCCAGACAGGGCCTTATTCCCGTTTTCTGGCACCCGCCTCCGCCCCTGTTGGCTCTGGCCTCACGCACCCGTGTGGTCAGAACCTTTGCTGAGCCAGGTGGGAGGGAGCGCTGCCTGGGATGAGGCTGGGAGCTTCGCCTTGCTCAGGTGCCCAGCGCAGCGCAGGGCCGGGGCCGTGGTTCACGCTGTGGAGGAGCGCAGGGTCTGGGGTGGTGAGGTTTGGAGACCAGCCTCATGCAGGAGGGGCTGGCGTCTCTTCACTGGGCCTGAGCCAAGTGTGGTCAGAACAGGACCTCCCACAGGCAGGTGCTGGAGTGTGTGCTAAGTTCTGGGTCTCCAGTAGCCTGGCCGCAGAGAGGGCGACTTTCGCTTCCCTAAATGCCCCTCCTCACCTGCTATGTCGATGCCGATGCCGAGGGCTGAGGGTGAGGAGCAGGGGAGGGTGTCGCTGGGCCTGGGGTGACTGCTGGCCCAGCCAACAGATGGGCCGGGGGTGAGGGCGCCTGTCAGACAAGCCTCGGGGACCCCCCTCTGTGGCAGGGCCCGCTGTCCCCCTCTCGTCTGGGGGAAGCTCAGCCGCATCGTGGGATAAAATCACTGAGGACTTAGGATGTGGTAGAGACGGGTCTTCTGCGCTTCCTCCTGGTTCTCAGCTGGCGTGCGGCCCCGCTGACAGCCCCTCCTGCCAGGAAGATTCTCATTTGGCTGCTGTTGGCGTTGCCTGCTCTGATGCCTCGTAATTAAAACATGCATTTGGCCTTCGCCATGAAAATCTAATTTCTTCGTCTGAGATCTGCTGATCGTGGCACTGGCCGCCAGCCCGTCTAGCGTGCGGATCGGAGCCCGCTGGATTGCTCATAGCTGGTGTTTGCAAACCAGGCCGTGGGTCCCTCTAAGCAGAGCCCGGGTGTGGTAATTGGTGTTAAGATTCTCTAGGGAGGGGGTTGCTGGGCGGCGCTGGGCCATCTGTGTGGCCAGTGGGGACCCAGTCGCTGACTCAGCCTGCCCAGCGGGGTAACAGCCCCCCGGCGGCCACACTTCAGAGCAGGTTATGTGCCAGGTACTGTCCCAGGTGCTCGACACGTATCCACTTGTTTCACCCGCAGGCCTCCCTCTGCGGGCCTTGTTGCTGTCCCCATCGTACAGATGTGAACACTGAGGCTCAGGAAGTAATTTGTCTTCAGTAAGGGGCAGAGCTGGGGTTTGAACTCAGGAAGCCTGACAGGAGCCTGCATGGTCCCAACCGCTGGGGGCCGCTGCCATCTTTGGGTTTCCTGGTGGCTGTGCGGCCCCTCGCCATGCCATTGAGGCGGCCGCTCACCCACTGACGTTGTTTCTCTCTACCTCCCTGCAGACCATCATGGAGCAGTTCAACCCCAGCCTCCGGAACTTCATCGCCATGGGGAAGAACTACGAAAAGGCCCTGGCAGGTAGGACTGCGCCGGGCCCCGTGGGGTTGGAGGAGGGACCTTCTCGGCTTGGACACAGGCCCTAGCTTGTCAGCAGGGGAACTTGGGCGCAGGCCGGGGGCTGTGATGGAGGAGGGTCTTCTGTTCTGGAAATGAACTTGGCACTGAGCCAAAGAGGTGTGTTGCCATGCAGGCCGCGACCCTGCGCTTGGGAGTCTGCTCCCGTGGCTACAGCAATGGCCCCACCCTGGGCAGTGGGGGCCATTCCTGCAGCTGGAGTGACGAGCTCGGCATCCCAGCTCTCGTCCTTGCCCACAGCACCTAAAGATGGGCAGGATCTCAACTCTGTTCCTTTGGCACTAAAGGTTGGGGCTTGGATTAAGTGGTTGGTACCAGCCTGGCCTAGGAGTCCCTGAGTGGTGCAGTGAACACACTCGCTGCTAACAGAAAGGTTAGAGGTTCGAATCCACCCAGAGTCGCCTTGGAAGAAAGGCCTGGCGATCTACTTCTGAGAAATCAACCATTGAAGACCCTGCGGAGCAGAGTTCTAGTCAGACACACACTAGGTTGCCATGAGTCAGAATTGACTTGACGGCAACTAGTTTGGTTTTTGGTTCAAGTACACTGTGCTCGGAAAAGGAAGCAAATCCATCAGAAGGACACAGCAAGCATCTTTTCCAAGCCTGACGAGTCCCGCTGCTTTGGAACGCCCTTCCCCACCTCTTCCTGGCCGTGTCTGTTTTTTTCTGTGCTCACGGTCGAGGCGGGAGCTGTGAATTTGAATCGACAGTGCAGGCTGGCCCAACCCTGGAGACCAGCGTTACTCTCGTGCGGCTCAGACTGCTGGTGGCGTCCTTTTGTAATGCCAGCTGTCACTACAACACTCAGACTCTCTGTCTGGGACTGTTTACGGGACACACGCTGTCAAGGAGGTCTCACCCCGCGAACCGTTCTTCCTCAGAGTGACATCATCTCATTCCCAGCTGTTTTGCACTCAGGGAGTGTTGGGGATTGACTGGTGGCCCCCCGAAAGACATGTTGCAGTCCTAACCCTGCTACCTGTGAATGTGACCCTGTTAGTGTTGGGGATCGAGTGGTGTCCCCCTAAAAAGACATATAGACGATGTAAGCCTGGTGCCTGTGAAACCGTGACCTTGTTTGGAAATAAGGTCTTTGAAGATGTTATCAATTAACAGGAGGTCACAGCGGAGGAGGGTAGACCCTAATCCCATCTGAGTGGGGTTCTTATAAAAGAGAAGAAACACAGACAGACAGAGGAAGGATGGACGCGTAACTGCAGCTACTCGCCAAGGAATCCTGGGGCCACCAGAAGCTGGGAGACAAGGAAGGATCCTCCCCTAGAGCCTGCAGAGGAAGCAGGGTGCCAACGCCCTGAATTCGCACTCCCAGCCTCCACAACTGTGAGACAGTAAATTTCTGTCCCTGTCAGCCAGCCTGGGTGTGGTCCTTTGTTACAGCCACCCCAGGACACCAGGACAGGGAGCCACAGGACACCCCTGATGCCTCTCCACTGGGGCGGTGTCGGGGGGGGGGGGCTATGGTCTTCTCTTTGGTTTGTGCACCCTGGCTCCCCGACACGGGGGCGTGGGTTTCCTTCCGGGCCTCTCCGCCTCCCACCCGGATTCCCCGGGAGGCTGTGCCGGAGACGGTGCTGGCCAACCGGAGATTTGTCCTTCCTGTTGCGCGGGCTCTCCTGACTGCTCAGGACAGACAGCTGTCCAGGCCCTGTTATCGCCTCGGCTGTATCTTTCTTCCCAGCACCGACCTTCTGTGACCTTGTTTTTCTTTCACTTGTTATAAGAAGCTGTCTCCCCCAGGCATCAGAAGCGCTTTCGTTCCCCTGGGTGAGGTTCTGGAGCCATCCTAGGCTGCAGAACAAGTTTTGTGCGCTTAACAGAAAACCACACAAATAAAATTTGATCAAGTGGTCAGTTATCAGCCCCTCACAGGGTCTGTGATCGTGCCGCTGATGGCTCCGGGCAACTCCACCTCCTAGTCCTCCTTCCAGCCTGGAAGGTTGGGCGCGGTCACTGCCCAGACCAGGCACGCGGCCAGGCACCCCAGCAGTCCTGAAGGGTCATGCTCACCTCTGAGGAGGAGGTCCGGACCGACGCTGGCCATGTCCTTTGCCCGTCAGCGGGCACTGTGACTTGGGGAGCAGGGAGGTCTCCACACCCACTGCTGCCTAGGTCAGTATTTGCCCCCTTAGGTGCTATGATGCGCATCCAGTGGCCAGCAATACCAAGGGATGACTTTAGCCTACTTTTTGTTGTTTGAGGATCCTAATAGACTTCATTTTTTTAGAATAGTTTTAGGTTTACAGGAAGTACCGAGAGTTCCCACAGACCTTCTCCCCACGCATTGTTTCTCCTATAGTTACCATCTTGCACGCCTGTGATATATTTGTTACAACCGATGAACCAACATCGATACATTATTACTAACTAGAGTACGTAGTCTAGGGTTCGCTCTCTGGGTTGTACCGTCTTAGGGGTTTTGAGAAATGCATACCGTCACGTGTCCACCATTACAGATTCATATAGAAAAGTTTCACTGCCCTAAACATCCCCTGTGATCCACCGATTCATCCCTCCCCCCTTCCCCTGCGTCCCTTTCTACACGATCTTTTCACTGTCCCTAGAGTTTTGCCTTTTCCAGAATGTTGTATGGCTGGAATCGTACAGTATATAGCCTTTTCAGACCGGTATCTTTCACTGAGCAATATCCATGCTTTTTCTGGCTTGATAGCACATCGCTTTTTCTCACTGAATGTAACATTCGACTGTGTGGACGTACCGCAGTTGGTTCATCTGCTCACCTGTTCAAGGACAGCTTAGTTGGTTCCAGTTTTTGGCGATTATGAGAAAAGCTGCTGCAGACATTCGTTTGCAGCTTTTTGTCTGGGCATCAGTTTCCATCTCATTGGGGTGAACACCTAGGAGAGCGATTGCTGGATAAAATGGCAAACGTGTGTTTAGCTTTGCAAGAAACCACCAGACCTTGGGCGTGGCTGTACTGCTGTGCACTCCCACCAGCGGCGAACGAGAGTTCCTGTGGCTCCACGTCCTCGCTGCATTCGGCGCTGTCAGTGTTCTGGAATCTCACGGGTGTGTAGGGGGGTCGGATCGTTGTTTTGATTTGGGAGTCCCTGATGACGTGTGATGTTGGGCACCTTTTCATGTACATCTTTTCCACCCGCTTATGTGCCTTGGTGAGATGTCTGCTCAGATCTTCTGCCCATTCTGTAATTGTTTGTTTTCTCATTGAGCTTCAATGGTTCTTTGTGTGTCTTGGATACGAGTCCTTACTTTAGCCGACCTACTTCCAGTGATAAGTCTTGTTCTGAGACCAGGAAGCCAGGAACAATAGTCCTCTGTGCTCAGGCTTGGCTTGGGGGCCTCTGTCTCTAGGTAAGTAAGTAGCTTCCTGCCTCCTGATACTGCCTTGTCTTGCCCAGCCGTGCTGTACTCTAAGCTACGCTTAAAGAACTTCTCCCTCCCTTGCCAAACAACACATGACCAGGAGCAGCTGTTTGCCCTCTGACTTGAGGCGTGCTGGGTGTGAACGGAACACCGAGTTCCTAACACATAAAAGGAGCCTTCAAGACCTGAACAGAGTCAGAATATCCACAGCGAGATCCTAGGGCCCAGGGTGAAGCCCAAACTCGAGTCATGTGCTCATCGAGGTCGAGGGTCGGGCTGATGGGCTTGGGGACAACTGCGTCTTCGCAGCGGGACTTGTCAGTCCTCGTGAAGGACGTAACACTCCCTCTGCCTCTCTCTCAGGTGTGACGTATGCAGCCAAAGGCTATTTCGATGCCCTCGTGAAGATGGGAGAGCTGGCCAGTGAGAGTCAAGGCTCCAAGGAGCTCGGTAAGACCCCGGATGCATCTGATGTGCTGGGTGGGCCTGGGCTCCTGGGTCTGGTCCTCCTCGGGCTTGGAATCAAGCTTTACCTGTCGGATACGACACGGTTTTAAAAATGCCAACACCCCTCAGGGCTGGGCAGGTGCTGTTGGGTGCACAGTCTGTTAAAAGTGGGGTGCACTGGACAACTCCTTGAGGTGCCACTCAGAGCTCACAGTGGTGGGAACGTCTCCCCAGGGGAGCAGCTTGGGAGTGAGGAGACGTGGGAAAATCCTGGTTTAAAAGCGTCACATTGGGAATTGGTGTCGAAGATTCGGACAGTGGGGTCAGCATTGACACCTGTTTCCTGCAACGTGTAAATGACGTGGGCAAATGGTCCTGGTATAAAATGAGCAAGAAAGGGCGCGGGCCCATGCTGTGGTGAGGCCCGGCTTTGTTGAAGGACGCTGCTCGTGCACGTGCCTGGTTCTAAGCAGAGAAGAGACGACAGAGCACCACCGGGGGCCTTCCTGGGGGGTGGGCTTCCCGGGTGCATTTTCACTGTATGTGTGCCTTTTCTGCTTGTTGCCAATTTTGTGCGATGAGCTTGTCTTCCTTTCACAACCAGCGAAATGAGGCTGCGAGTTCCTGCGCCGGGCTGCGGCTTTCTGTCGAGTCGTTGTCTGTGGTCTGTGAGGGAGGAAGGTGGTGCCGGCGGGGCTGCTCCTGCCCTGTCTGGCGGGGCTTGCGGCCGCGGGGAGGGCCTGCGGGCCTGGCCTGGCAGCGCTCATGTCCTGACACCCAGGGTGGGCTGTGGATGGGGAGATGGGCCTTCGCCCAACAGGAAAACCAACATGAGCTGAGAAGCCAGTAGGATTTTCCCAGCTTCCCCTTTGCTGATGGACGGCCTGCTTTCTGCACGTGGACTCCTGATGGCGGGAATCAGCCTGTGGCCAGCTTACCCAGGTGGCCCGCGGGTCTCGGGCAGTGGCTGTGGAAGTGACTGCCCCGGCTGCAATGAGGAAGGGAGGTAGCTCTGCCGCACCTCGTCCCCTCTGAGGGTTGTGTTTTCCCTTGAGTGGCTGGCCACTGCCCTCGACAGACAATCAGCCGTGGGCAGCAGTCACAGCCTCGGGGGCTCGGGAACCTGTTTCTCGCGTGCTGGGCTGAGCCCCTGTCCGTGCAGCTCTGCCTGCTTGTTCTCCTTGTGTCCTTTCCACAACAGCCTGTACAGGACATCAGGCCTGGAGACCGCGGGGCTCTGCAGTTGCCTCTTTCACTCCTGTGTTTGGGGAAACTGAGGCCGAGCCTGTCAGTGGTCATGGCTGGCCTGGGGTCCTGACCCCGGATGGGCACCGTTCCCTCGGGCAGCCCCGGGGGCATGTGCTGTGTGTCTTGTCATTCCCACCCCTGCAGAGTGACGGCGTCCAGAGCTCTGTGTTGGGAAGGTACCTGGGCAGGTGAGGGGCAGAGAGTGCCAGCCTGCGGGGCATGGGCTGTGTAGGCAGCTGCCAGGGAGGCTCACAGGCAGGCTCAGGTGGTGGGAAGGTGGTGTTGCTCTCATTTCCCATGACTCCAGGGAAACCTCTTCATCTTGTGGCAGTCCCGTGGGAACGCGGCAGGGCTACACGCCTGGCCTGGCCTGGTGATGTCTGGGCGGATGGAGGTCACACTGTTGTGAAGAACTGACTGTGGGACAGTGGCCCCACTTGGGCTCCCCTGGGCCTCCTGGCTGCCCCTCCCAAAAACCCAGTTCTGGGTATGCTGAGTTTGGGGGAGGTGCCCTTGCCGCCCCGCCTGTCCTGGCTCTGGGGGTGGGCTTGAGCCCTGGTGTGTTTGCACATGTGCTCTGACTCGTCTTGGGGGGTTGTCATCATGGTTTGTCATGCAGTGGATTGGGGGGGCATGCGCTGGAGGACCAGGCATGCCTTCTCCTGCCATCGTGAGCATGTACAGGGGATGGGGGGGTCTGCCCACGGAAACGACGCATCCCCGTGGGACCCCACGGTGTGTCCAGGACTGCGGTGGGAGTCCAGAACTCACTGTTGGCAGAGTTCTGGGAGGTTGCCAGCTTCACCAGACCTGGTGAGCAGGATGGAAGGCTCTGGCCACCTGCCCTGTGCCCTGGTGTTGGCACATGGGGGCTGCCGTGGGAGAGACATGTCTCCGTCCCCCCGGAGCTCACAGGGTTTCAACTTTAATCAGGGACCCAGTCAACTGTGCCGTCTCCTCTGGGGTTTATCTGGGGAGTGGACTCCATCACTTGACAAATACGAGTCCCCTTACATGAGGTGAGCGGTGGGACAGCAGGCCTGCTCCGGGAGGTGAAAAATTTGTTTTGGAAACAACTTTATTGAGGTAGAATTCACACAGCGTGCAGCTCAGCCGCTTAAAGTGTAAAACCAGCAGTTCTTAGTGTAGTCACAGATCTGTGTAACCATCATCACAATCAACCTTAGAACGTTTTCATCATCCCAAAAAGAGACCTCTTACCCTTTAGCGGTCCCTTCCATTCCCTGTGCCCCCAGCTCCTGTGACCTCTAGTCTGCTTTCTGCCTCTATGGATTTGCCTCTTCAGGACATTTCACATGAAGAGAATCGTGTAATACGTAGCTTCTTTCACTTCATGTTTTCGAGGTTCATCCGTGTTGTAGCGTGTTGAGAATTTTGTTTCTCTTTATTGCTGAATCATATTCCACTGCCTGGATGAACCCTATCGTTTATCCGTCAGCTGTTGTGAATAGAGCTGCAGTGAACTTTGGTGTACAAGCTTGCCTGAGCAGACACGTTTTCATTTCTCCTGGGTCTGCACCAGGAAGGGGAATTGCTGCGTCAGATGGTCAGGAGTTGAATTTTTATTAAAGCAACACGTGCCCCTGGTTTCACAGCACGCCCCCTGCCCTCCCCTCTTCTCACCCCTGCGTCCCGTACTCAGAGGCGGCTGCCTTCAGCTTGTAAAGCTGTTTTTCTTGGGCTTGCTTCCATGTGACTAAAAAGTAGGTTTCTTCTTCTTTTTTTTTTTTCAATTTTAGACATTATTTAATAATTCTTATTGTGAAAGATTTGGACTTAGCTTTTTTATACGACTCCCTTGCTCTGTCTGATACGATTTATCACGATTTTTGTTTAAAGTATTATATGAGGTTTATGTTGTAACTGCACGGGTTTTAGCCACAGCTAAGACAGCACCTGTGGTTTTTCAGAGCTTTAGTGAGGTAGAGCTGATGTACAGTAAACTGCACGTATGTAAAGTACACAGTGTGATGGGGTTTTACACATGCACACGCCCCATCGCCACAATTGAGATTGTGAGCCTCTCCATCACCCCAGTTTCCCAGGCCCCTGTCAGCCCCCTTCTCTCTCCCCACTGTGCCCCTTCCTGTCCCCAAGCAACTGCTGGTCTGCTTTCTGTCTCTCTAATTCCGTGTGTGTTTTCTAGGGTGTTATATCAATGGGATCCTACAGTATGCAGTCTTTTTTCTGTCAGGCTCCTGTCAGGCAGCATAACATATTTTGAGATTCACCTACATTGTCATGTGGACCAGCAGCTCATTAGGTTTTATCGCTGAGTGGTATTCCAGTGTGTGGATGTTCTGCACTTCGTTTATTCAGTCCTGTGTTGGTGGATGCTTGAGTTGTTTCCAGTTTGGGGCTGTTACAGATTTAAGTTTCCCTAATTAACTAACCATGTCGAGCACCTTTGCAGGTGCTTATCGGCCATTTGTACATTTTCTTGGGTGAAATGCCTTCCTTTTTTATTAGGTTGCTTGTCTTCTTATTATTAAATTGTAAACACTCTTTATATATTTAGGATACAAGTCATTTGTCGGATACATTTTTTACACATATTTTCTCTCAGTTTGGTCTGCCTTTCCCTTTTATAACTGTTTTTTAAAGAGCAGACGTTTTTCATTTTGATGAGGTCCAATTTATTGATCTTTCTCGTGTATTATAGTTCACAGATGTTTGTTGTGATTACACTTTTTTTCTCATACAACTGTTTTGCCTTACTTCTGCGTTTGGGTGTTTCTGTGTGGACCATCATGAACTCATTCCTTTGTCTGCCATCAGCCAACTCAGTGGATTGTTTCATTTATTCTCCTTCTGGAGACCGCCCTCCTGGAGCCCCCACCCCCTGTCCCAATTGGGGAGCCGGGCCGCCCCATGTCCTGGGATCCCCCACCTGGGATGCCCTGCTGTGTGGGAGCCCCTGTGTTTCTAGGTCCTGTGTTTTTCACCATACTTGTTTTGCTCCCTCATTTAGAGATTTTTTTTTTAAATAGACTTTATTTTTTAGAGCAGTTGTAGGTGTACAGAAAAATTGTTCAGAAAGTAGAGAATTCCTACGTACCGTACCCCCTCTCCCCACCACAGTGTCCTCTGTTACTAACATCTTGCATTCCTGTGATACGTGTTACAACTGGTGAACCAGTATTGATACATTGTTACTAACTGAAGTCCATAGTCTACCGTAGGGTTCACTCTCTGTGTTCACTCTCAGTCCTGTGGGTGTTGACAAATGCAGTGTCGTGTGTCCACTATGACACTGTCATGCAGAATAGTTTCATTGCCCAAAAAACGCCCTGGGCGCCACCTGGTCACCCCCATCCCTGAGCCCCTGGACCCCTGGCAACCACGGGTCTGCTCACTGTCTGTGTTTCCTTTTCGGGAAGTCATGTGGTTGGAGTCCTACAGTAGGTAGTCTTTTCAGACTGGCTTCTCTCATTTAGCAGTGTGCCTTTAAGTTTCCTCCAGTCTTTTTGTGGCTTATGGCTCATTTGTTTTTCCTGGTGAACAATGTCCCATTGTATGGGTGCCCTGCGGTTTGTTTGTGTGGGATCATCTTTTCCTTAAAGGTTCCTAAGAGGGAAATAGATTCTTTGAGCCTGGGCATCTGCGGGTGTTTTACTACCGGGCGCTCAGCAGGTGGCTTGGCTGAGGGTCAGCATTCTGGGTGGGAAACCATCTTCCCCTGGCATTTGGTGGCATTGTCCCGTTGTCCCCTAGCTCTGGGCTTATGGTCCTCC